TGATAATGAAATCATCACATATACACACACACACAATATAACCGTAATACATCTACTAGACACATCTCAATTATATACTTGATTATATAATGGCTTACACCATTCATAAACAACTATGGGCCAAAAATCATATTCCAAAGATCAATTCCTGTCCCTTGCCAATACCTACCGTAAAAACCAGAACAACTCCACAGGTTTTTGGATTCTGCATCCAGCCCTCCCAGGCAATTTCCTGGCAGCTCGGGGTCCCCTCTGGGGAAGGGTACCCAGCACGAGCCCTCCCCATTCCCCGCTCCTCCAGCACAGCGTGTGCCTCCCTCTCGCGGGAGTCTCGGCGAGCCCCAAGGGACACGGGAGCCCCCCAGTCTCCACCCCATCCCCCTCAGCCTTTGCTCCTCACCCCCAAAGAAGGCACAGAACAACTCCAACTGCCCTGGACAGCAGCAACTTGCTTTATTGGAACTCTGTCCAGGTATAGACCCCTCCCAAAAAGGACCTCTGCTGCAAAAAGAAAGGGGGGCAGGTCCCAGAAATCCCTCCCCGACTTTTGACCCCTGACCTTTGACCCCCAGACCTTTGACCCTCGCCCTTTTGATTCCCTGGCTTTTGATCCCTGACCTTTGACCCGACCTTTGACATCTGACCCCTGACCTTTTACCCCTGACCCTGACCTTTGACCCCCTGGCCTTATTCATAACACTAACCCTTGAAATGGTGGTGGTTGTGTTTTTCTGGTTCAGATTTGGTGCTGTGCATTTATTTTTAGTTAACTATGGTGGTGCATGTGTATTTCTGGTTCGATATGGTGGTCTGCAGATGCATTTTGGGTTGAATATGGTGATGTGCATTTATTTGTGGTTAAAATGGTTGTGCTCATGCATTTCTGGTCAAACGTGGTGCTGTACATTTGTGTGGTTTTCGGATGTTGTGCTACGCGTGTTTTGGAGGGCGCATGTGGTGTGGTTTTTTTGGAGGGCTGTGTGGGTTGGTTAGTGGATGGTATGGCGGTGTGCATGTGCTGATGAGGTGTGGTTTATTTAGAGGGCTGTGTGGGTTGGTTAGTGGATGGTATAGTGCCCTGAAACACAGCTTTAAACCTTTGAAATGCTGAAAAAGTCAGAGCCTCCTTCAACTGAACCCCTTAAAATAAGCAAGTGAGGTGGTTGACTCCACTTAAATGGATACAGTGGCAAATAAATGGCTTCTCCGCTTTAATTTAACCCCCTAAAATATTGGGAAAAAGAGTGGCTTTCCTCACTTTAAATCTCTCCAGTGATGGAAAAGGAGGAATTTTCCCCTTAATTCAGACCTATAAAAAAGTGTCATCAAGGGTTTCCCCTTCCACCTACAGTGGAAAATAATGGAAAATGGGGATTCCCTATTAACTAATACCCCTAACAGCACGGAAAAGGTAGAGTTGCCTCCAATTGAGACCATCAAAATTGCAGGGGAAGCAGATTTCTCTTCAATTTGAACACGGGCAATTATGGAAAGGGAAGCTTTTTCCCCTCAGTTTAAACCCCTTTTTTTTTCGAATAACCCCTCCCTTTTCTGGGGCTCAGGAGAGGGAGTGACAAGGTAAAAGGGGAAAGTTGAAAGCTCTCCTCGGGACCACGTAGTATTCCCAGCCGACCCCAGTTTGGACCTGCAACCCCCACTTTTCCCATCTTTCCTCTCCTTTTCCCCGGGCCGGGTTCCCCCGCTCCCAGCGGGTGGGAGCAGCCGAGATCCCCGCGCCGCCCATCCCGACCTGTCCCGGCTCCATCCCCGCTCCTGCTGTGGGCTGCGAGGGGTTCAGGAACCGAGGAGGAAGAGGAGGGAAGGAAGAGGCGGAGCGGCAGCAGGAAGCCGGAGGAAAAGAGGAGAGGAGGGATCCGCACGGCTCCGGTGTCCCCTGAACTCGCAGCCCTCCCGGGATCATCGCCCGCCATCCCGCAGGTGCCCGGGGAGGGGGAGCTCGCCCCAAATACTCCGGGGGTCCCTGGGTTTGGGGTTTTGGGGAGGGATGTTTGGGGATGGCAGGGCTCCAGAGCCGAGCCGCAGATGCTCCTCGCGGGGAGATCGGGGGTCCCCGGGAGGTGTTTTGGTGGCGGCAGAGCCCCGGCAGAGGGGCCGGGGGGATGCGGGTCCCCCCGCGGTGGGGGTTGGGCTTCCCGGGCCGGGCCCCCCCGAGCTCTGCCGGGGGCCACGTGGGGACCGCGCGGGAGCGGGGGGAGAGCGGTTTTGGAGAGCCGCGGCTTCCCTGAGCAGGACCCCAGAGAGAGGAGAGCCCCGGAGCCGCAAAGCGGGGACCCCGAGAGGGGGGGACCCCTGGGATTGCCGGGACCCCGGCGGGGGATGCTGGGGCTGGAGGCATGGCCGGGAAAGGGGTTCGGGGCTCCCTGTGCCGGCAGTGGCTGCTCCCAGGATGAGTCCAGGTGATCCTTCCGTGGGGTTCCAGTTTCCTCCTCTGCACTCCCTGTATGAGCCCAGTCAGTCCCGGTCATTCCCTATTATGATGCAATTTTCCCGCAGCACGGTCCCAGTTGCTCCCAGTTGCTTCAGCTTTTGTCCAGTGTGCTCCCAGTTCTCCCAGCATACTGTCCCTAGTGTAGTCACAGTTACTCCCAGTATGATGCCAGTATCTCCCAGCAGGGCCCCAGTCGCTCACACTTGTCCCCAGTTGCTCCAAGTGTGGTCCCAGTTACCACCTGCACGATCTCAGATGCTCCCGGTGTATCCCAGCTGCTCTGAGCATTCTTGTAGTCATAGCGAGGCACTCCCAGCTACCTCAGCATGGTTCAGTTGCCCCTGCTATTGTCCCAGTCACTCCCAGTACATCCCAGTTGTCACCAGCATGCAACCTGTCATTCCCAGTTGCTCCCAGTATGTATGCATGCTCCAGCATGGGCCTGGCAGCTGCCAGTAATCCCCAGTCAGGGTCCAATCACACCCACTATAATCCCCCTATGATTGTAGCCAGTCCCAGTATGATCCCGGTCACTTGCAGTCTAATTCCGGTCACTCTCGGTATGAGGCTCTCCTGCTCCCTCTCCCAGCCCAGCACGGCCCCGGCTGCAGGATGACCCCGCTGCTGACGCCGTCCTGCCGGGGACGCGTTGTGGGGGGATCTCCTTCCCCTTTCCCTCTGGCACGGAGGCAAATCCCATCCTCTCCTTGTCCTTCCTCCCCCAGACAAGGAGCTGAAGATGGAGACCAGGGAGGACAAATCCCCGCGGCAGAACCTCGTGGAAGAGGCCGTTTTGAGCGGCTCCACAGCACAGGAATCCGAGGGGGAGGAAACGCCCCGGAGATCCCGCAGGAGGAGGGACTCCAACACCAGCCCAGGGTGCTCTGAGGAGGAAAGACCCACCCTGTGCCGGGAAGGCGGCCGGAGATCCAGCCAGGGCTCTGAGCTGGTGGTCCGTGAGCATCTTCATGATGGGGAGAAGCCCCACAAGTGTTTGGAGTGTGGGAAGAGCTTCAGCTGGAGGTCCCGCCTGATTCGCCACCAGATGATCCACACCGGGGAGAAGCCCTACGAGTGTCCTGAATGTGGGAAGGGCTTCAGAGACAGCCCTGGCCTGATCATCCACCATCGTATCCACACTGGGGAGAGGCCCTTTGAGTGTGGAGAATGTGGCCAGAGCTTCAGTCGGAGCTCCCACCTGACCTCCCACCAGAAGATCCACACCGGGGAGAGGCCTTACGAGTGTTCCGAATGTGGGAAGAGGTTTCAGACTAGCTCCCTTCTCCTCATACATCAGCGGATTCACACAGATGAGAGGCCCTACCTCTGCCTCGACTGCAGGAAGGGCTTCAGGTACAACTCCCACCTTATCAGGCACCGGCGCATCCACACCGGGGAGAGGCCCTATGAGTGTCCCGAGTGTGGGAAGAGCTTCAGGACTAGCTCAGTCTTGAACCAACACCAATGGAGACACCGGTAAGAGAAGCCCTGCGAGCTCCCCGACTGCAGGAAGAGTTTTGTCCTCTGCTCCGACTCCATCCCCCTGCAGAGGACCCACATTGAGGAGAGCCTTGGTGACTCACATTCCTGGTAATCCCGGTTGGGAGGACACCTGAGTGGTGGTCTCTACATCCTCCTGGATCCCCGTGGGTGCCTGGATGTACGATGGAGCAGGAACATCCAGATCGACAATGGAAACTCGTTGGGAAGAACTGACCTTTTGACTTCACACCCTAAAAAATCTGCTCTGTCCAATTGTTTCTCCTGGTGGCATTGAGCAAAGCTGGATGATCCTTGGAGGTCTTTTCCAACGTAAATAATTTCCATCTTCATCCCATCAAAACACTCAGAATTACGGTAAAAAATAAAGACGTTAAACAAAGCGATCTAAAGCTGCACCATTTTACTGGGATTTGGGGTTCAGAGGAGTAGTCGGGTAGATTTGTGTGTTGTAGAGCCACGAAGCCAGGTAGATGGGGCTGCAATTTCATAGTTGCGCTGGCAGAACGTGTCCATCTTGAGCCCATCTGTTCTCTAGAAATTCCGGTTGTCTGTCTGAGTCCCTGGCCTGGGTCTCCCCGTATTGAGTGTTCCTCCCAAAGGGACCAAATTGCTGCTGAAGTGCCCAAGCTGCTCCTGGCTGGGGATGTTCCTGTCTGCCAACCTCCCCTGCTCTGCAGCCCCCAATTGCCCAGTGACAGCTGCTGCTCCCACAGGAAAATGGTCTTGGGGAGCATTTGAAGCACAAGCTCCAGCCCAGCGCAATGCCAGCCCCTGCCCGGCTGCACGTGAACTCCATGAGGGGAAGGAGGGATTGATTTGGAAACTCCTGAGTGCCCTCAGTGCAGCTGGGCCCAGAGCCATCCCCACCTCGCCAAGCAGCAACTGTGGAGCAGGAGCCGTGCCTGATGTGCCCCGTCGGTGTTCAGGTGACCAGGCCATGGAGAAGGGCTGGGGGGGCAGGTGCTGGGGCAGGGGCAGTTGGGCTGGGGCAGGGCTCTCCAACTGCCCTGGATGTGGAACTGGAGCCTGGCAACTGCCAGAACGGCCGATGGAGCCCCCACAGGTGAGTTGGGAAGGGGCAGCTTTCCCTGTGCTGGGCCCAGAGGGGGCCTGAGTGGCCCTGGGCCATCCCATGGGGATCAGTTCCCTTTTGGAACAACAAGGCGTTCCTGAGGGGCTGTTCGAGAGCTGGCGACAGCTTTGGTGCTGGCCATGGGGACAGGCCTGGCAGGGAATGGGGGCTCCTGTCCAGGCCACCCACATCTCCCATCACTATGGGCACTAACCAGGGAGCAGCTTTTCATTGCATTCCCAGCACCCCAGTTTACAGCCCAGCCTCAGCACTTCCCAGAGACCACAATGGGTTTCTCCCAGTCCTGTCATGGATGATTCCTAGTGGCCCAGAGGAGCCCACAGTAAGTATCAGGGTGTGCTCGGGGAGCTGGAGCACTTCTGCTATGGGAAAGGCTACGAGAACTGGGACCGCTCTGCCTGAAGAAGGCTCAGGAGAGACTTTAGAGCTCCTTCCAGCCCCTGAGGGGACTCGGGGAGTGTTGGGGAGGTACTGGGGACAAGGACCTGCAGGGACAGCGCAAGGGAGAGTGGCTTCAAACTGACAAATGGATCAATTTGCATCTTGTGAAGAAATTCCTTCATGGAGGAGGAATGGTGAGGAGGGTGGAGAGGCCCTGGCACATGTTGCCCAGAGCAAACAGGTTGCCCTGGAAGTGTTCAAAACCCAGGCTGGATGAGGCTCTGAATAACTTCCCTTTTGGTGTTCTCATCAAGTAAGACACTTCCCTGCAGGTTGCTTTTTCTGTTTTCAGACTCCGGGGTTGAAAGTATTCCCAAGGAGGGGAGAAAGCTGAGCTGGAATTCCTGAGCTGGGGTATGCTGGGAAAGCGTATTTAGGACCGACTGCCTCAGGGACAGCCACGCAAACCTGAGTGTGCTCTTCCCTGTGCTCTTCCAGGTGGCCCAGGAGCTTGGACTGAGCCAGCAGTTCCCTTCCCACATGTTTCCTCAACAGGGACTTTCCTCAAGAGCCCCTGAGGTGAGTACAACTGTGCTGAGCTGGCTCAAGACCCTTTTGAAACTGGACTTAGGGAAGGGAACTGCAGGAACCCTGCAAGGGGGAAGCTGCTTGGCCGTGGCTGTCCTGTCTGTCCCTGATGGGGTTCATTTCTCTGTGCCTGATTTCTGGATCCCCATTTTACCCCAGAGGAAACTTCATTTCATCTTGTTTGGTGCTAAAATAATTTAGGCATTTATTATTAAATTATTATTATTTATTATTAAATTAAAGCATTTTCAGAAATCACTTCTGGAAACCAGAGTTCTCCTGGGGCATTTTGCAAAGGCAAGCCGTGACAGGGACAAGAACGGCTTTAAGCTGAAACAGATTGAGACTGGACATTAGGAAGAAACTCTTGGCTGTGAGGGTGCTGAGGCCCTGGCACAGGTTGTCCAGAGGAGCTGTGGCTGCCCCTGGATGCCTGCAAGTGTCCAAGGCCAGGCTGGACAGGGCTTAGAGCAGCCCGAGATAGCAGAAGGTGTCCCTGCCCGTGGCAGGGAGATGGAATGAGATGGGCTTTGAGATCCCTTCCAATCCAAACCATTCTGGGATTCTCTAAAATGACTTTGGATTCCACGATTGTCCCCTCACCTCACGCCCCCTCTCTTGCAGGCATGGCAGGAGGCAAAAGAACACAAAGAACGATCCCGGAGTGGCGCAGATAGAGCGAGCCGTAAACGGAAAGCAGGAAGCCTTGGAAATGTGTCCGGGACAAAAGCAGAAACACCAGCAGAGAGCGGCACAGGGCCATTCCCGAGCGCTCCGCTTCACATCCCTCTCTCTAGGCTCAGGGAAATAGAAGCGGAGCTGATTTGCGCCGATGAGGCGGACAGTGAGTTTGAGTCTGGCGAGCCGGTGGCGCCAGCAGTGCCACCAGCAGTGCCACCAGCAGCGGCTCAGCCCCCTGGCCAAGCCCCAGGGGACAGCCGGTGGCACCGCGCTGGTGCAGGGCTGCAGGCAGCCCTGCGGGAAGGCAGCGCTCGGTGCCGGCAGCGGGATTTTGCAGCGGCTGCGGCCAAGTTCTCCACGGCACTGGAGGTACAGGGCTAAAGGGCTGTGACCCCAAGCAAAACCATGACAGGGGCATCTGCACTGCAGTGCCAGGGCTGTTCCCCGCACTCCCTGGGGCAGGAACAACAAAGGGAACCAGGGGCACCAACCTGGCATGCCTAGGGTCGGAGAGAAATCCAGAAATGCAATTTCACCTGAAATCAGAAAACTGGGGCTTGTAAATAAACCACAGAAGGGAGGGAAGTGTTGGACTGAACTGAAGAAGGACAGGTAATTTCATACTTTTCTCCAAGTTCTTAACTGTATTAATGTGTGGAGGAAATTGAAGTCCCACAGAGTAAAAAAAAATGCTCCTTTCTTTAATCTTAGCTCTGTCGGCAACAAATGTCCTCTCAATAACTGGCGAGTTGTCACTCTGCCCCAGCTAATGTTTTCTCTCTTCTCTGACTCCAATCCCTTCAGCCAGGCACTTGAAACCCTGAGAAAGGGACCAAATGCGCTTTTTTTTAGCACTGTCCTGCCAACCTTCATTCAACAGTATTTGTCAAATATTAGGGCTTTCCAGTTCACAATATAATGTAATAGCCTATTCCTAATTTTTTTTTTAATACAGTACTTAAGTAATTTTATAAGCAATAAATGTTATAGCAGTCAGTGCTATTATTTTGATAAAGTGTCATCCTTTTAAAGTGCTTGTTTTCCCCCTATATTCTGATATGAGCTGTGGCACCAGCAGGTCACTTAAGAAGAAAGAAGGACTTTATTTCCTCTTAAGAGGAGAAGCTGGTGAATGCACATACCAGGAAAATGGATGAAGGGATTAATCCCTGGGATTGCAGACAAAGCGATTGGGACTGACTTGACAGAATTGTAGGGCTGGCGCTCCTCAGCAGTCTCTAAATCCAGCTCTCCTCAGAAACAAAAAACCCATAGCATCCCTGAAAGACCCTTCTGTCCTCTGTACTGATTTTTGTAATGCTGACTTTAGTTAAAGCCAGAGTCTATTAGACTTCCGTTTTCTCCGCTGATCAGTCACAAAAAGTATTTCCACCGAGCAAACGGTGTATTCTAATATTTGGAAATTGTGGTTTTGTTTCATGTGCAGCTTTGCAGTAAAGGCTTTGCTATAGAGGATCCCTTGAAATCCTCCCCAGATGACATTTCCAGGCTTGCCAGTTGGATCGAGTCAAAGCTCGTCGTCTGCTACTTAAAACTAGAGCAGCCTGGTCTTGCTCTGCATCATTCACACAGGTAAGAGGAAATATGGATCGGATTCGCTGCTAAGACTGAAATCCAAAAGGAGACAAAGACTAGGAATAAATGCTGTGCAGGAAAAGCCAGTCTAATAGTGAGAAAAGAGGAATCAAGAAAACACCTTACATGTGGCATTGGTGTTTGGACTGGACTAATTGCATCTGTTGAAGGGTCTGAAACGCCGCCCAAGGTTCACCCACGTTGCACCTATGCCTTGTACAGAGAGTATTTCAAAATATCTCAGGCTCACCTTCTGATACATTCCAGATGCACAGTCCTTCCAGGGAGATGAACCAGACACCTGCTGCTCTTGTTTGGGGAGCTGGGGGTTATCAAGAACTTGTGCTGTAGCACTTTGGGTTATGTTACCTACATGCTCAAGGCAAGTGAGAATATTACCCGTGGAACATTTTTTCTAGAGCAATACACAAACCCCTAATGAAATTTCATTGAGGATAAAACCACAATGAAATGAACCTTTAAGTAACATTTTTAGTAATATTTTCAGTAATATTTTCTTCATTGATCACAGCTGGAGAGAGAGGGAGATGGAGGCAGAAAGACAGTTCACCTGGCATTTGAGATGTAGTGCTGAGTTGTAGAGCAGAAGTGCATACGGCGTCTGCCTCAGTCACCGCTTGATTCTTAGGAGCTTTAATGAAGTAAGAAATCCAAGTCTAACCTTGTCCATCTCTCTTCTCTCCCCAAGGAGCATCATTCAGAACCCCTCTCACTTCTGCAATCACCTGCGCCAAGCCACTTGCTTTCGGTGCCTACACAGATACTCGGAGGCTGCCAGGTACCTCTGCTGTTCAGGCTTCCACAGGGCTCCTCTGCATCGCTTTCCTTGCAGCTCTCAGCAGTGACGCGTCCCCTAGGAGCCAGGCTTTTCCCAAATCTGTGGAAGCTTTGCGCTGGCTTAGTGTGTGTGACCTCAGGGGCAGGAGAGCTCCACTCTTCCCAGCCTGTGTAATGAGAAAAATCCCAATTTAATCCTCTAAATAAAAATAAAATAAAATTAAGTAAAACAATCCTCTAAATTATATCCCTGGCTATTTGCTGGCAGGGAGTTTAGAGAGCTAAAAATGTGTTTGCTGACGCTTGTCTAAAAGCTGGACAAGGACTGGGAGTTCTGTGTAACCTTTGGTATTAAGCTCACTCGACAGTCTTTGAACCGGATACCCTTTCATCCTTGCCACAGAGCCTCTTCTCTGCCTGCACACTTCTCTCTCTGCTTTTATCTTCAGGAGCGCCATGGTCGCGCAGTGTCTGTATGTCCTGGCTGAAGGTGCGGGGCTGGAGACCAGTGACCTCCTCCAGCTGTACTGGCAGGTAATAACTGAAGGCCTGGGGAGGACTCACAGAATGGGCTAAGTTGGGAGGGATCCGCAAGGATCACCGAGACTAACTCTTGGCCCTTCACAGGACCATTCCCAAGAGTCACGCCCTGTGCCTGAGAGTATTGTCCAGCTGCTCCTGGAGCTCCTTCAGGCTTGGAGCTGTGACCGCTTCCCCAGAAGCCCATTCCAGTGCCCGACCACCCTCTGGGGGAAGAACCTGTTCGTAATAATCCAGCCTAAATCTCCCCTGACACATTAATTCTGGATACAGCTGATGAAGGCATTTTTTCCTAAGTCTTCCTGATGTGACTTTCGGAGAGCATGGAATCACTTTTTCTCTCCATCCAAAAGACAGTTTTTCTTGTCCCCATCTCCTCCTTGAAGATGGAGACTCATGGAGTCAATCATCCAAACCACGTGGTGGTTTTTTTAACTAGTCTCTACGCAACATGAAATGTATAGTTTCTTTGCCATTTTTTAGGTTATGATTCAAGAAGCCATCCGTGGAGAAAGTTCTTTTTCGGCTCTGTATACACCTTTTGAGAAAGAGGACAAGGCTGACAAAATAAAGGAGGCAAACAAAACCTTTGCTGAGAAGCACCCTGACTACGTGCAGCACATATTTACAGGTAACAGCAGGTTTCAGCTGCCCTTAAGTGCTGTGGACTGTGATTGTGCAGCTGAATACAAAAGAGTTGGGGAGAGCTGGAGAGTTTGAGCTGCTTGGCCTTCAGACACTTACACACTGCTGAGGGGAATTGGGCAGATACGCTTTATCTCATGCATCAGCAAAATTTAAGCTGTTGATGCAAAAGGCTGCAGAGCCCTAAGATGCAAAGCCCAGTGAGAGCTGGATGTGTTGGTTTTGTCATCTGTGTTTTGGCAAGGTTTCTGGAGACCATATCATTCCTTCTTAGACTTCCCTTATTTTTCTCCAAAAAAGTAACTTCTCTTACAGCTGAAAAGAAATATGACAGTGGAAATTATTTTCCTTTCCCTATGCAGATCCTCATGGAATTCACCTGTTGCCAGAGAAGGCTGAATCTCATCCTGACCAGCAGTACTTACTGACTCTGGGCTTTAGAAACAAAGAGATTGGAAAAACTGTGGAGAAGTTTGTAACTCGAAAACTGCCAGTCTTTCCAGGTGTGCCAACTTGCTTCAGAACTGGCCGGGCTCAGGGGTGACTCCCACAGTCCTTACTAAATGAGGGGGCGAGGGGTGTCTTGGGACCCATTTCCATCAGTGCTGGCAGCCCTGATAGCCCAGGCAGCTCTTCCCACCCCCTTCGCTCCTCCTCCAGTTCACCCAACGTCCTGCTAGATCCCCTAAAAAAATGGAGATGAATAAACACAGCCTCTGTGGTTCTGTGATTTCACTTCCTAGGACAGAAAATAACTTTCAGTCCCAGCATGGAGGAAGCAGCAGAAACATTTTGGCAGAACACTGGGGAAAGGATCATGGCAGCCATGGCTTTTCTAGGAAGCACCAAGATAAAGGTGAGCATCCTATTCCCTTTCTGGTATGCAGTGTGTGGGAAGGACGTGTGCTTTTGGGGAACAATTCCTGCTCCACGTGCTCCTCCAGTGTCCAGAAATGCTTTACGAATTGCAGTAGGAACAGAGCTCCAGTGGGTTTAGACTCTTTTGAAAAGGAGTTCTAATGACTTAACAGTGACCAGAGTTTCTTGAAAGTTCCTCTGCATGCAATTTTCTCCAGTCTTTATGTCCTATGATATTATATCCCTACTTCGCATAATCACCAACACAATTACTCTATTTCATACCTATAGTAGACTGCACCTCCCACCCGGAGCTCCATCGAGAGTTAATTGTTGCTTCTTGAAGCATTTCTAGTGACTGAGATCCTGATCCCACTGGAGTGAAGGTGTGAAGTAACCTTTCCACCTATCACAATGACATCTTTATTTTCCTAGTCCTACTAGAGAGCTTGTGGCAAGAAAGTCTGTTTGTTGCCTCTCTGAAGCCTGTCCCAGCAGCATGGCCTGAGAAGTGGTGGCTGGCACACTGCTGAGAGCAGGACCGGCACAAACACAGATGAGAAACCTTGAGGCACAGGACTCCAAGGATCAGGGTGTTCCCTGCGCCTCCCCTCTGACCTCCTCTCTTTTCCTGGGCAAGCAGGATGAGCGTGGCCCGTGTGCACAGGCCATTGAGCAGTTCCATCATGCCAGCCTGCTCAGCCACCTGCAGAGAGGGGAGGAACAGGCCCAGGTAATAACCCAGGCGATGGCTGAGCTGGCAACTGTTCCCTACCTGCAGAGAGTCTCTGAGGAGGATGACAAGCTGGTAGGTTTTGATTTCCAACACTTGTATTGGCCTCTGCAGGCTGAGAGACAGAGCAGGAAGGGCCAGGGCAGAGTTCTGCACTACCACCCTGTGCTCTGGAAGTCCTTTGTCCAATGTGGGGACCTGAAAAGAATCCTCAAATCCTCCTTCAGTGCTTTGCCAGAGGAGGAGCTGATCACCTGCAAGGGTGACTGATGGAACCACCAGGACTCGCCTGTCAGTATCTATTGAAAATCCTGTCTTTGTCCCCAAAACCTCCCCTAATCGGTGTGGAAAAATGATTGCAATGATTCAGCTCATGCTGCCTTGACAGCTCTGACCTCAGAAGGCAGCTGCATCAAAATAGCCTGAATTGGGGTACAGCTGAGAAGGAGACGGGGAAAGGAGGAAAAACTGATTTTCTGTGCTGGGTCCATCCCCCACATGCTCCCTGCCTCAGAACAAACCTGTCTGCCTGCTCACGGTAACTTGTCAGACTTGCTGCAGGTGTCCCAAAGTCAGTAAAGAATCTGTCAGGCTGTAGTGAAATGTGGACTGTGCCCTTGGCTGACCCAACCCTGCTCCAGCAAGGGCCAGCAGTGGGATGATTGCTGCAGCCAACGAGGCCAAAAGTGATGGTATCCAAGGGGGTTGGGCAAAAAAGAGGAGGGGGAAACATCTCCTTCTTGCTGTGCATCAGTGGACAGATGGTGTCTCTCCTCCTCCCCTGAAGGGACACCTCTGGGTAAGCCTTGTGCCTTGAGCACACCCAGGAACACTAATACCCAGATACATAGTGCTAGTAGATCTTATTTCTTTCTCACCATTAAAACGCTTGTGAAGAAACTCCAGAAGCTTTTATTTGGATTTCCTTTAACTTAACCCAACATTTTGGAGGATAATTATTTAGTGTGCAGCAGTAGCACAGGTCTCAAGTACCGGTTCTCCCCAGTTTCTTCCTAAACACTGATGCTAAGGGCAGGACAACCTGGATCCAGCCCTTGTCTCTGTGTTTCTGAATTAAGAGTATCTAAACCATTTTCCAGGGGTTTGGAAGGGTTCAGGGTGAGGCAATGTCAGGACTACCCTGGAAAAGGACTGTGGGGAGGCAATACTGAAGTATTTTAGGTTCACAAGAATGCAGTGCAAGGGCTGAAGCAAAGATGAGTTGGCCATGCTCGCTGTGTGAAAGATGATTCACAAAATCATCAGAGTGCCAAGGATTTGAACTGGGGTTTAATTTGTGTATTCAGAGAAATTATTTCTCTGTGAGTTCCACATTGATTGTTTGTATCTCTGTGCCACAGCTGCAGTCACTGATGGCAGATGCCATGGACATCCTGGCTGGAAGAACTGGAGAGCGTGTGTGGACTAAAATACAGAAGGTAACAGCCTGCAGCAAAGGGCAGGAGAGGAGCTTGCTCCTTGGGCAGGAACTGTCCCTGAGTCTGGTCTGTTCAAAAGGCAGAAATAAGAGGAGGTGCCAGGTGAAACCTGGTCCCATGCCTTGGCCTCTGTCCATGCTCAGGCACCAGCTCAACCAGACCAGACATGTCTATGATTTGCCTGGGAGCCAGCAAGGCTCTGGCTGCATCCCTGCTGTGCAGAGACCATTGCAGCTGATCTGCTGCAGCAGGAACAGTGCAGTGATGTCAGCAACTGATGTGCCAGATTAGTTCTTATTTGGGGGGCTGGACCTACTCTATACATATGAAAAGCACAGGCAGACCATGCCAAACCACGGTTCCAGGTAGGAACATCATTCCTCTGCTGTTTCCTGGTGGCATCCCCAGCAGTGCAGACACTGCTGGATGCTCCTAAAGGGCTGCTGTAAATCCTGCTGCTGTTCCGGTGTCCCCTTTGTCCTCACTCCACACCCCACCCATCGCTTAGGACCCATTTTCCTTCCTCTTTCTGCCCTTTGTGCTCACCCAGACACCAGCACTACCCCCAAACAGAACAGGCATGTTTAATGGCAGAGCAAAGTCATGTAGACACTTTCATTTGGTCTCTGGCAGAAGAGTCTTGGGAGCTCAGTGGTTGTGGCTAATAGGGCCAGGCCCTGCACTGGACCCCTGCGCTATGGGATCAATTGCACCCAGACTCCCTGTATGCTTTTGGCCAGTCCATGATTTCCTAGGCTTTTATTTCAACTTCATCAAAACTAGACTGGCACCAGGAATCCTCTTCCTAATCCTCTGCGTGTTTCTATGCTGAGCACATCACAGCAGAGACAGCCCACGAGGCTCTTTGGAGAGCTCCAAGCTCCTCGTGCTCCTGTTGCAATGGATCTCTTGACAGCAAAGGAGCCAAAGCCCAGGTACAAGTGCCCATCGAGCTTCACCAGCACAGCAGAAAACTCTTTTCCATGGCATCATGCACGGTGCTATGTGCAGGCCATCCCCTCAACAGGTCCCCCTGGCCAGCTCCATGGGCAGGAGGAGGCAGAGCTTCTCTCCCAGACCCTCTGTGCCCTCAACACCCCAGGGCAGCCGATGGAACTTTCCTGCTTGCCTCTCTCAAAAACACACCCTCCTCACCGACCCAAAGCACGGCCAGAGCGTGTGGTGTGGCTTCACTCCAAGGCCAGGGCTGAGGAGCACTTAAGGGACAGCTCAGGACACGGATCAATACAAGAGAAAGCCATGTTTGGATTAATTCCCAGTCTGTTCCTCTGAGAAGTCACACTCCCCTGAATGTCTGTCAGCATGGCAGAGCAGGATTTTTTTTTTTTTCTTTTAATTATTTCAGCTTAAAATGCAATGGGCAGATTGATTCTTTAGATCTTCCCACGATGCAGGGTCTGCATCTTGAGTAGAATCCTGCGTGAAGGGAGTCTGTTCCACAGCAATGAAGGAATTGAATGCAAACAGAAACGGAGAAAACAAAAATAATGACAAAGTCAGGTACTTCTGCTGCAACCAGTTGCCCAAGAGGAGCCTTCATGTATTTTTGTTTCTAATGACTATCAGTTTTGAAATAAACTAATTGCAACAACTTTTAAAGTTTTTATGGAAGCAAATGGACTTGCTTGAGACACCACTTCTTTCTAATTGCAGGTGGCACTAATTGAAGAGTACTTGAGGGAAGGAGAAGAGCTTTACTTAAGAACTCCACATGTGCAAATACCTGGAATGGAAAATATCAACTGGACTCCAAGGGGACAGAAATACTTGAGACTGGAAAATACAAACATGTTCATTCCCAACCCACGAAGCTTAACCACATGTCCAAAAAAAAGACACATAGTTTTTGCAAAAAGTTGATTTTGTAGGTATTTTGTAGCCATTCATACCAATTTGATAGATGTTAATCTTATTTTACATTGTATTAACTTGAAGTTGTATTAATTTAAATTTAAATTGTAGCCAATTGTATTAAACTATATAAATTTAACTTGTACTAGCTTAAATTTAAGTGGTATTAAGTAGTATTTACTTGCATTAACTTTAAATTGTATGAATTTAAACTTGTATTAAACTGTATTTAGTTCTATAAATTTAAGTTGTATTACTTTAAAGGGTATTGAACAGTATTTGCTTTAGGTTGCATGAATTTAAATTCTATTAAATTTTATTTAATTGCATAAAACTAGGTTGTATCAGTTTAAATTTAAATTACATTAAATAGTATTTACTTGCATTAACTTTAAGGTATATGAAAAAAGGCTTAAGTTGCATTAAATTAGATTTACTTGTATTAATTTTAAATTGTATGAATTTCAATTTAAATTGCATTTAATGTAAACTTTTAAACTGTATTTGTTTAAATGTCAGTTGTAGTAAATGGTCTTTAATGCTTTAAAATGTGAGTTGTACGAATTTCAATTTAAATTTTACTCAGATGTGTTAAACTTTACTACACTGTATTTAATTTAACATTGCCAGCAGCATCAATCTGCTGCTCTGAGCCTACCCTGTGTCCAAGCTCTGTCACATCCTGCTGGCCCGAGCAGTTCTGGACGCAGGGATCCCCCAGCCTCAGCTGGGCACAGCTGAGCCTCCCTCGCCTTCCCCGAGTCACCCGGACCATGCCAAGGGGAAAAGCGGCCCTGAAGGCTGCGGGAGCTGCAAGGGCAGGAACACAACAGGAGGGGGAAAGGAGAAAGCAAATGCGGAGCCCAGCTGCTGGGCCGGGCTCGGGCTGGGAAGTCCTTTGTTCTCCTGGGTGCCCCAAGGGCGGCGTTTGCCCGCACTGGACGGGAACTGGCGCCACGCGGGGCACAAACCCTGCAGGGAGAAGCAAACCTGCCCCTGCCTTCTCCGGGCCCCTCTCGGCCTCAGGACTCCGCCCCACGTCTCTGCCTGTCCCGGGGACACGTCCGGCACGGTTCGGGTTCCCAGGGCCCCGGAGCTGTCAGCAGGGAGCAAAGGACAGCTTTTCCCCAGAGAGCACCCGAGCAGCTGATGCTCCACCTGCAGCCCCAGCTCATGGGTGCGGTCCCTGCTGAGCCTGAGCTGCCTTTTGGCCACGGCGTTTGCAAGGGAAGAACCTCACTCATCCTTACAGAAACGACATTCTGTCATGGCATTTTCTGATTCAAGGGGAATTTTAAAGCAAAAAGACAGAAAGAAAGGCAAAATCCAGCACCAGGCCAAAGACTGAATGAAAAGTCCAGGGCCTAAAAGGTATTGAACCACTTAATTCCCATGATCTTTTATCACAGACAGGAGTCTCAATCCCACAGATTCTCAGCTGCCAGAGACCATTTTCCCAGGTTCTCAGAAAAGATATGGAAAAACTAAGAAAGAACTGGCAAACCCTTGGTGCTCCTTTGCTCATTGTGCAAGGAGTAAAGTAGAAAGAAACAGTTTTGCAAAAATCTGAGCTCCTTAAACATGCAGAACAGAGAGAGGAACTCTGGAAATGACATTATTTTGCCACGGAGTTGGTTTTATCAGGTGGGGTTTTATGACACCCAGTGGCAATGATCATCCATGACAGGCAGATCTGCACTAACGCACAAAGATGTTCTTCACAGATCACAGAGTCACAACACAGATTTTGGAAAATCCTAAACAAATCCTCTTAGTTGGAGATGATATCTATATAACTTGGGTCAAAGTTACAAGATGCTTATATAGCTTGAGTTATAAGATACCAATATAAACTAAATCATAACTTTCTATACAATGTATAGCTCGTATATGGTTAATTAGTTGCTTAATGTTTAAATAAACAGAAACTCACTAGGTGAATAATCTCAAAAATAGACAAGCATAGCTATATCGGGAAGCAGCAGGATGTACTAATGAGAAATTGGCAAATGTAAAGCAAATTAGCCACAAAATTGAGAATTTAGACCATTTGCACCCAGAAAGACCAAGGAACACCATAACTGTGCATGCTCTGAAGACAAAGTTGAAATGTTCAGGAAGACCTTGAGTCTTCATCAAAGAAAACACCCAAGACCACCTAAATTTGGGATGTGCAAGCACAGTGCAGAAGAACTATTTATAACTATGAGATAACATTATGTAAGTTAGCTCTGACGTGTACATGACGATGTTATAATGACATTGCAATATTAAGCAATAATTACTGTATAAATAAACTACAGCACATGACAAATGTGGGTGAGTTAGGTGGAGATATCCCACTCCCCATCAGCACTGCAATAAACAGGTACCTGCTCTATAGACATCTGTCTGTGGGGATTTATTTTCAGCCTTTTTCAGGCAACAGAGGCAAGCGGCCTTACGATGCTGCAATACTTAATCCCTTCCAATAGTTACAGCGAACTCTGAGAGATCCCAGGTGGTTGTTTTTCCAGAACAAGCCCCAAAGAGACACAGTGTGGAGCTGAGGTGCCTCCCCCTTGCGAGGAGGCTCCATGAGCAGCACCAGCAGCCCCGAGGGCCCAGCTCCTTCCGCAGGTGTTTGTGCCCCAGAGACACTGCCTGGCCAGGCAGCCTGGGAGCTGCACAGCAACAAAAGCTTTTCACGAGCCCACAAAAAAGTTTAGACCAACTTTAAATTCAAGTGTCTTGAAGGAATCCCGGTCTACTAGACACTGTCTGTAAAACGTCATACAGCACACGGTGCTGCACTGTTTCCCACTGGATCTGTGAAAATGCTTCTACCAGTCTCCCTCAGACTTTTCCCTCCGAGCCCAGCTCAGCCCAGGTCCACGTCCATTTTCAGGGAAAACGGGAATCGGCTCCACCGAGCACCCGCAGGCCCAGCAAGGCCAAGGCCGGGCCGGGCCACTCCCTTCAGGCCCCGCTATGGATGCGGTGCTCTCTCACGATTGACACCTGGTTAAAAGAGCTTCCATAACCTCACCCGGGTCTCCTGGGTTCCCTGAAGCCCCTCTGTATCACACCAGCCCCTGACTTCCAGGAGCTTCCGCAGTGGTCCAGTGGCCCCTTGGTTCCACGAGTGGCTGGCATAGAGCTCCTGTCCCCTCAGCTGCTTGGGGAGAGGCTGTAGGAACAGCGTGCAGACGGTGCCATCACGCTTCTGTCCCCACGCCTGTGCCTGTCTGTGCCAGCGAGGGCTCGGCTCAGGAGCGCAGCGCCAGCGGCGCCAGCGGCGCTCCGGCTCGGCCGCCCCTCCTTGGCCCCGCCCCCTTCAGCCGCGCCCCTGGAGCGGCCCCACCCCCTCCCACCGCCTCCAGATTGGCTGCTGGGCCCCTGGCCCCGCCCCCTCCAGCCCTCCCCCGGCAATGGCAATGATCCCTCATTAGCATAAACCCCACCCGTGTGCCTCCGCCCCAACCCCTTTGGGGGTCCAGGGGCTCCCTCCTCCCCCCACAATGGGGGGAGTAAGTGCCATAGGGGTCCTGACCCCCTCAGGTGTTGGAGTTCTGCCCCATAAGTGTCATAGGGGAACTCTGCGCATAAGTGCCTGGGGGCAATTAGAACGTGGTGGTGGCAATTAATCAGCCAAAATTTGGTTTAATTGGTCCTGGTTAATGGCAAGTTAATTGATTAATTGATTTGCGTTAATCATTAATTGCTCCCGGGGGGGGGGGGCCGGGAAAGGTTGGGGTGGGTAGGGATAATGAGGGGGTCCTTAAGCTTTGGGGGCTTGATGGTGGGAGAGGGGGAGCTTTGGTCCTAGTTGGGGGGTTGGGGGACTCGGGGAGGGTCTATGGGGCAAGGTTGGGTGTTCTATGGGGTGGGAAGAGTCATGGGGGTCATCTCCAGCCCAAGAGTGTTTTTGGGGGGCTGGAGTGTGTTGGGGAGGCTGTGGGGCAGAGGGTCCCATGGGGCACCAACCCCCAGCCCAGAGCCCTGGAGTGTTTTTGGGGAGCAACTCTTCGATGGTCCCCCCTTGGGTCCGGGGGGTCCGGCCGTGGGTCAGGGATGGGGTTCAGGCCCGGGTGGGGGCACCCACCGATAGGTGCCCTCGTACAGGAACCCCGCCCGCCGCAGGAGTTCGTCCGCCTCGGGGGGGCCCCGGCTGGGAAAGGGGGGGACACAGGGTCAGGGGGGTCCCTGGGACCCCCAAATCCTGTGAGATCCCCAGGATCCCCCCAAACCCCTGGGATAACCCAAATCCCCAACGGGATCTCTGGGACCCCCCCAATCCCCAGTGAGACCCCCCAGGCCCCCCATAAGCCCCCAGGACAACCCAAATCCCCAGTGGGACTCCCCAAATCCCCAACAGGACCCCCTAGGCCCAGCCCCTCCCCCCCAGGTGTGCCCAGGTTCCCCCAGACTCCCAAATTCCTCCACCAGATAACCCCCCACCGTTGCCCCCCCAGGTGTCCCCAGCTCCCCCCAGCCCCCCCCCAGGTGCCTCTTTCTCACCTGCCATAGGGGTAGGGGATGGGGGGCTCGCGGCGCTGCTCAATCTGGTGCAGGAGGGGGGTGAAGATGCGCCAGGCCTCACGCAGCTCATCACTTGAGGGGGGGACACCCCAAAACTGAGCTGGACCCCAAACCTCACCTGGCCTCACCTGGGCCCTCCCCAGGCTCACCTGGACCCCCAAACCAGTCCCATCTTCTCCTCCAAACTTATCCCACCAGCCCCTGCAAACTGATCCTATCATCCACCTTATACTGGTAACCCTTGCCCCCCCCATACTCACCTGTTCCCCTCAAACTGGTCCCATCTTCCCTTCCCAAACTGGCCTCATCTGTCCCCCCCCATGTCCCACCTGTTCCTGTGCCCCACCTGCCCCCTCAAACCAGTCCAATCTGCCCCTCCAAACTGGTCCCATCTTCCCCCCTAAAAATCCTGCCTGCTGCCCCTAACATGGCCTCATCTGCCCCTCCCAAGTCCCATCTCCCCCCCCAGACTAGTTCCACTTGACCCCCTTGCTGTCCCCAAACTGGACTCACCTGTCCCCCATCATGTCCCACCTGTCCCCCCGAGACTCTTCAGCTCCTCTAAACTGGTCACATCTGTACTG